CATGATCAAGAGTGCTTTAGAGTTCGCCTTTGTGTAGCAATGAACATGACTGTGTTGCCCATTCGAGAAGTTTGGGGACGGGACACTTTCTAGAAGACTGGCTGTTCCTACACAAGTGCGTGACGAGGACGATTCGAGGCATTGTTCAACCTGACTTGTGTCTGGTCTACTTGCCAAGTTCTAATTGGGTACACTAACAGCACCGAATTCCTGCCAGCTTCCAACTCTGTTCTGCATTCCAGAACAGCACCGACCCCTTTCAAGACATTCAATCGTGACAAATTCTAGACATTCGTGAGTACACCAACACATGTATCATAAGGCATGTTGCTTACTGCTGCTGCCACGTACAGTAAACTACGGTTAAAACGAACACGCTTATAACGAACTGACGGATAAAACGAACGTACTTTTTGGTCCCGACTTTTTGCTGTAGTTATGCTGTATATATGCTTATAACGAGTGGTCCCTTTGAGTTCGTTATAACCGTAGATTACTTTATTTGACTAATTGCATTGTCTGTTTGATTGTAAACCTAAAAATGTGTGTTTCTTTAAAAAAAAAGGATTATTCATCAAAATTGACGTAGTTCATAACAGCAGGGTCTCTAGAAATCTGCATGAGTCAAATGGGCACATCACCGGCGGTTCGCTTGTGCATTCCCTTCTTTATACAACTGACACACACAGGAAAGAACAACCCTTAGATCGTGACACTATCCACCCTTGTGTTACCTCAATAATAAAACACTTGCCGTAGGTGAGGAAAAATAGTTTTATCACAAGTTCCTCGTTGGCCATTTGGCGATTGTAAAACAATACATTATGAGGTGTCTCTGGTTTCGTATTTGTTACGGAAGTTGAGAACATCTGTTCCCTTTCTAATTCGTCATTGTCCGAACGAGGTTCAAGCACCATTCTTCCATGAATTTGGAAATTACTCGATTTTGAATGGTCAGTCAGAAGTATTAATCACAATAAATCATTTTGATTGAAATAGTCGATTAGATAAGCGTAATATCGATGGGCCCGCCAAAACGAGGAGCGTCACATTGCTGTGACATCACGTAGGCCTGCAGTTTTACATAGTGTTAGAACATAAATTTAGCCTTCAGTGTATAATATGGTTGGGATATCACGTCGACCAGCCAAGGTATAATCCAAGTTAACTTTGGTTGACCTATGTTAACACATGTTAATACAATGGTGTCATACTTCGGTTGACCTAAGTTTTCAATACCTGCTGAACTCCTTGGGTGCGGTATTCCAAGTGACGTCATCGTTTAAGTTTGTGTTTCATGTATTGATTCAATCATGAATAAAATCATTTGAATGAGCATAATTAACAAGATATTGATTATATATGCATTGTGATATGCGTCAGGGAGCTCAATTCTTCGTTGTTGATATGATCTTCTTCAGAATCAATTATGCAACTTTGATGATTATTTTGCATTTTTTTTATGTCCAAGGATTACTTATGAACTTACTTGTCGTTTAACATGCATTAAATAATGGTACAATGGCAGCTTTGTAAAACAATTAAAACTTATTAACCTCTCATATAGGTGCCTGTTATAGTAATATATACTGAGTCGCAAAAGAAACGTCACAATGGATAGATATATGAGAAAACTTATTTGTCCAAACACTGTAAACATACTTTATTAACAGACATATTAAAAAATTAAAAAGATGAAACTTCGCAAAACTGATCATCAAGGTTGAAATTGAAGTGACAAATGTTCTTAAAGTGAAACACAACGCTAGTCTCTGAGAAAATGGCATCACAAATCAGTATTTCGTGTGTCCGCCATGTGCATTGATGACTGCCGTGCAACGTCGATGCATGGAATGGATGAGGCGGTTGATGAAGGCCATAGGCACTTGAGCCCACACTCTGAGGAACGCCTGACGCAGTTCAGCTGCAGTTGTCGGCCTTGGTCGGACGTCATTCAGCCATCTTTGAATCTCGTCCCACAGGTGCTCAATGGGATTTAAATCGGGACTGAGGGCAGGCCACTGCATGGTTCTGATGCCATTCTGCTGGAGGAAGTCTCTTATTGCTCTCGCAGTGTGGGCACGGGCGTTATCATGCTGAAACTCGTGGTTGCGTCGACGTGCCAAATGCGGTATGGCGTGTGGTCTCAAGACTTGATCAATGTACCGAGCTGCTGTGACACCATTGCATCACCCTGTGCAAGACCAATTCACACACCATGATGCTCGGACCCCACGTGTCTCTCTCAACAACACAAGCATCCGAATAGCGTTCACCAAGGCGTCGCCAGACTCTCTCTCTCTCTCTCTCTGCTGTTGAGATACAGTAACGGCTCTCGTCTGAGAAGAGGACTCTTCTTCATTGCTGGTGGCGCCAATGCTGGTGCTGTGTTGCCAACTGAAGACGGTCCCGGCGATGACGTGGTGTCAGAATGGGTCCTCGGCGTGGCCTGTGACATTGAAGGTGTCTGCTCGTCAGTCATCGACACACGGTGTCCGCACTAATGTGTCGCTGGTGTGTCCCCATGCTCTGTCGAGCAGTTTCCGCAGCAGTAACAAAGCGATCTTGAAGATGCTGTCGCACAATCTGACGATCCTGACGTTGGTTGGTGACCGTCGGTTGGTGACTACCTGGTCGGTCATCTGTAGTGTTGGTGGTCTGGTATCGTTGCTGGAGCCTGTATATGGTCCTTACGTGGACTTGAAATGCATTGGCTACTTGCCGGGCGATTTGTGCAGCTTGCAATCGTCCAAGGGCTTGGTGTTGCTGATTTCTTTCAATCTTGGCACGTGGTAGCAATTCAATAACGAATGAATGTTATCCGATCTGGTTGGATTGTTATAGGGCAAGAAATAGGGGAACGCATGTACATTTCAATTTGCACGGAACTCACGTGCAACGGGTTACCATGACCGTTGCCGGGATGCGTGTGGGAGATCGGTTTTATTGTCATCTGCTTTATTTTTTTATCTTCAAAATTCATTTTTCCGAACACGGTAATGTTAAATTTTAGAAACTTTGACAAACATTACCCAGATATTAAAATGACAACTTTTCATGCAATGTTACTTGTGGTGACGTTTCTTTTGCAGTTCAGTATAGATATTAGTAGCGGTTCTCCTCTGGCATCCATTTTGTGTTATTGGTATACGTTTTATTTCGGGTACCGCCCTTTGTTAAGACTGGGTAACTATGGTTGAATATGACCAACCTTGGTCACTCAAATTTGAATTATCAAAAGCACATAATATTAGAACATCATGTCACCCTGCAGAGCGTAATATGGTTGAGACGCTACGTGAGCCTGAAGTGTGTAATGTGGCTTTGGACATGACGTAATAGTTTTAGAAGATAACATAACTTCAGTGAAAAATAAAGTTAGAACATCACGTCAACCTGCATTGTGTAGTTTTGTTTTTGGACATCTTGTCAGCCTGCAAAGTGTGATGGGGGCAGGCTCATGAGCCTGTCGTGTACAATAGGGTTGAGGCATCACGTCGGCTTGCATGATGTGATGAGGTCAATTTCATTAAAATCAGATCTTAGTTCTCACTAACACTAAACAAAGATCTGAGAACATCCCATTACGGGTCACGTCAGAACTACTTTTCATTCGACCAATCAGAGCGTGCGCTCACCAGACCAAGAATGTTACGGTTGGAATGCGCTTTTTAATCATGCAATCTTAAAAGGATTAACACGGGGTATTCCGAACGCAAGTTACAGGCGGTTCGACTGATTTTAGCTTCAACTGGATAAACATTTGAACGTTAGAGAATTTGCATAGACGGTGTCACGTACTGTCTTCTATTTGAGTTCCAGGCTGTTTTTGGTTAGTCTACAAAATTAGAATCAAGAAATTTGTCAAGATGTTTTACAAGCATAGTCTTGGATGGAAGTCGCCAGTTTGAAAGATGCTTTCTGATTGGCCTATGTCAACTTCTTGATAGTCATTATATTGGTCGGTCTAAGTTCGCGAAATGTCGTTCTGAAGAGATTTTAATGAGATTGGATAAGGGTGGACTTTTAAACTAACCTGCAGAGGGTAAACTAACTGGAACATCACGCCAACCTGCAGGCGTTGATTGCAAGAATTTCACATACGCTTGCTGTGCGTCATGTGGATGGATCATCCCGCCACCCGGAAGAACGACAGTGTTCAGTTATAACTTGTTTGGACATCACGTCAACCTCCAGAGCGTGATATAGATGTGGCAGCCACGTGAGACTGTTGTGTCTAACATCACTTCGATCAGCCTGCAGTTTTTAGAAGTTCACAACATCACGTCCACCTGCAGTGTGTAATTTGTCTTGGCTTGACTTAGCTCATGTCTACCTATACGAGTAGACAGGCTGTGGTCGATCTCACGATTGGACGACTCGAAACAGCGTTAACTGGTCCTCGCTATCGAATGAAAACAATGGCGGACTAAAACTGCTCTTGGCACAATTAACATGAGCAGAGCTGTTTGCTTCAATCTGTATCGCTCAAAACCAGACGTGTGAGGTGTATACATGTAGCCATGTCGCCCACAAACCCGGGACCCGTGAAGATCCGTGGTAGAATAGGTCTTCAGCAACCAATGCTTGTCGTAAAAGGCGACTAACGGGGTCGGGTGGTCAGGCTCTCTGACTTTGTTGATGCATGTCATCGATCCCAATTGCGTGGATCGATGCTTATGATGTCAATCACTGGATTGTCTGGTCCAGACTCGATTATTTACAGACCGCCGTCATATAGCTGGAATATTGCTGAGTGCGGCGTAAAGCAACAAACCAACAACCAACACAAACCCTGACAATAACTACTCTGATTGAAAGCCAAGGATTCGAGATTGGAGCCCGCGATCAAAGGATACTGGCGCGCCAAATGGACGCAAAAGGGATGAAGCTAACCACAGTGACTTACGGCGCATCGGACGACTGGGCCAACCGTGCCAAATATATGATGGTAAAGGAGGAATTTGAATAAAGTATAAATACTCAGATATTACACCTGAAACTGTATACCTTATTTATTCACAATCATACATAGCTTTTGTTTCTCTCAAGTCTAATCAAACATTTTATGTCTCCAACATTTTATAACCGAAACTTAAAGGTTTAAATAATTCAGGCGAAATAGGACAAGTACGTTGTGACCTTGATCCTCACTTCCCGATTGGGTATGGAGTCGGTACGAACGTATTGATGTTGGTTTTGCTTGTTGTCAGCGTAAGGGTAGAATCTGTAAAAAGATGAAAATCCATTGTGCACATTAAACTTTTAACAGTTTCGACTGAATTGCTTCAGCACACGAACGTATCACATGTTCAAATTATCTTCTGTCATTACAGGTCAAACCTTAAATCTAAAACTGAACTTGTTCAAATATAAAAATTAAAATAATCAAACATCTCTCCGAAACCCATGGGATTCATCTTCAGCACAATTAAATATGAAGAATCTTTTCAAAGGCAAAGAAGAGGAATTTGAAATTTGTTTTTATAAAAGCAAATTCATTTTAATAAAAGAAGAGGAATTTTGAAATTTGTTTCTCCAAAAGCAAGTTCTGATAAGTTATTTTAGCCTCTGAGTATAGGTGTAGATACTGTTGAGCACTTACTGCAAAATCCGCATGACAATGCGCAGTTGTTCCTAGCCCATTCCTCGTAAAATCCCTGACACATTTCCTTTGGTCGAGAACTGCACGATGACACCCTGTCTATGCACTCATTGCCTGTTTCAGAAAAAAAGTGTGCCTTGATAGTAATAAACAGTATAATATACGCAGCATTGTACAGGTTGGTTAAGTGGTGTGTTAAACATTAACTTATACTTTGTTTGTTTGTTTGTTTGTTAACTCCGCACGCAGCGTTATTCCAGCTATATGACGGCGGTCTGTAAATAATCGAGTCTGGACCAGACAATCCAGTGATTGACATCATAAGCATCGATCCACGCAATTGGGATTGATGACATGCATCAACCAAGTCAGCGAGCCTGACCATCCGATCCTGTTAGTCGCCCCTTACGACAAGCATAGTCACCTTTTACGGCAAGTATGGGTTGCTGAAGACCTATTCTACCACGGATCTTGACGGGCCTAACGGAAACATATCACTATACATGCTTATTGATTTAATAAATCTGATGAAAATGGATACTTAAAATATCTAATTTTACCCAAATTGTTTGATTAAATTATCATAATACATGTTTGCGGCATCATAATGTTGGCGAAAAATAAACTGTATCCTACCACTTTAGTCTATGGATAAAGCCATTTGTTACTGGCATTCATCGCTCAATCAGAGTCGATGAATATAAATAAGACTGAATCACAATTATAGAAATGATCAGTGAATAAAATGTAGATTTCGTAAGTTTTCAAACAGTGCAGCGTTAAACAAACGATCGAAAACATTCCTTCAGCTGTGTCACCGTGCATGATCACCTGATCCATGCATTGGCTGCTTTGGACCTTGTCTTATGTGGAATTTGCATGACAGGAGCTCCCTGAAAAAGTAACTTACCACAGAGGCCACACGTGAAACGGCAGTTTGTGTGTCCCCAGTTCCCGTCCTCGCAACCATACCCAGTCTTTCCATTGCGGCAGTCAGTTGGAAAGTTGTCTTGACAGGTGGGAGGATCCGCTATCAACAGAGGCAGGGATGCAAGTTATGAGCTATATGCAAAGTCAAAATAAGTGTTGAGTGAGTCATTTTGGTATGACGTTGCTCTCAACAATATATCAGCCCAAAACATTAAGGTCATATATGTTTAAAACTTTGACAAAATCGGTATGACGACAGAAAAATGATCTTAATTTGAACGAATCTGAAATCTAACCAACCATGAGCAAATCTAGGTAACCAAGGGGCGTAACTCTGAAGGGCGAGTTGCAGCGCCTTAGATCGTTGGAGCACCAGTGTCATTTCTCCTCACCAGCCCAAGAATGTTTGTTTGTTTGTTGTTTGACGCCACACTCAGCTATATGACGGCAGTCTGTAAATAATCGAGTCTGGACCAGACAATCCAGTGAGTGACATCATAAACAGCATTCCAACACACCACGAATGTTCTTCACACATCCATTGGAGGGGGCACGTGTGGCCCAGTCGTCTAAGGCGGCGCGATTCGCTGTGCAGAGTTGCGTCCCTTGGGCACGCCAGAAACCTATGATTGTGGGTTCGAATCCCGGTTTGCCCCGATTATGAATGTAGGTTTGTCAGCACCATACCTGTGCTCGTGGGTTTCACCGAAGTGGCAAACGTCTGAGACCTGCATCAGTTCGGGCTTTCCTCCCACATTAAGCTGACACGCCGCGATATAACTGGAATACTGTTAAAAGCGGCGTTAAGTCCAACTCACTCACTCCATTGGAGGGTTGACCTTCGGATCTCAACCACTCTAACCCCTCGGTGTCAACTACAACACCACTCCACACCAAGGGCAGAGTAAGAAGCTGTAGAAGCCATTACAAGATCAATATGCGTTGTATAAAGTTTCTTTGGACCTCTTAACAGAAGAATCATGTGACAAGTCGTACATGCCAATAAAAAAGCTGCCAAAGTGTGAAGAGATATGGAATGTTAGTGTTATTTTCTCACCACACAGTTGACATGTCCTGGGGCAATACTTGATAGCCCATTTGATTTGATCCCCCTGAACAGTGCATCCTGACGCGTAGTGTCTGCACAGAGCATAGGAGAGGATGTCTTTACAGACGTAAGATGGTGGCTTCTTCACAACGGGACCTGTATAAGAAAAGAACGGGATGAACTGGGTTCTGCACATCGGTACTGCTCAACCATTTGATGGAGCATTGTTAAGTACGATCGACCCTGAAGCAAGTGACCCTAGACCGGAAGTTCTTCATCGAACCACGTGGTTGGGTTAATCACAAGTTAAAGCTGTGAATCGGTCTGTAAAAATAGGTTCCAATCCAGGGCCTTGTTCCACGAAGCGATCTTAACGGTAAGATGATCGTAAGTCCCATACTTTAACATAGGCTTACGACAGTCGTAGCGCTAAGATCGCTTTGTGGAACGGGTCCCTGGATGGCCACGAATCCAGGATGTACTCACTCAAATTGTATTCGCCTTGCATCCATCCATCCAGACATATACATGGAATGCATGCATGAAAAGAATTAACACAACCAATTATAGGAAGGTAGCCTAAACGATTAAATTACCTATATTTGTGTACGATTTTGATACTTTCAAGTTGATGTCACATCAGTTATAGTCATATCTAACAAACATCAATAGTAAGGTATGTAGGTGAAGACTGCATGACTTTCGATCATGTAATAATTCAGAGGATCTGTGGTAGAAGTGGCAGGCAGTGACTGCATTGTGTAATCCTCTTACCACAAAGACCACAGGTCTGTTTACAGAACAGTAAGCTGTAGTCTCCGTAGTTGCAGGAGTCGCTGTGACAACTCGTGAAGACGTCTCTGCATGGAGCTGGCGTTGTTTGCATGACGATGCCATCTGAAATGTTGTTATGGGATATATTCTGGCTCCAGATTTAGCAAGCCAAGTATAAGACTTTATTATATAAATGTTAATTTCAGAACATCGGTGGGTTTAACTCAGTTGGTTGGTTGGTTGGTTTGTTGTTTAACACCGCACTCAGCAATATTATCTGTCTTGCTTAATAAATGTATGATGTCAAACTGCACAAAGGTGCGCCTCTTACTATCCATTTTTGGAACTAATCTAGAACAGTTGGTTGGTTGGTTTGTTGTTTTACGCCGCACTCAGCAAGATTCCAGCTATATAACGGCGGTCTGTAAATGATCGAGTCTGGACCAGACAATCCAGTGATTAATATCATGAGCATCGATACACGCAATTGGGATCGATGACATGCATCAACCAGGTTTAACTCAGTAATATTCTTATATCGATAAAGCAAACAAAAGCGACAGAACCCTTTCCATATTCGTAAGAAATCTCTGTCAAAAACAGAGTCGTTTTTACGATTCCAATTATATCATGAGCATATGTTTATGAATCACTATCAAATAGTGATGATACCAGGTGCATATATTATGCAAATAGAAACTCCCCTATGGCGCTGTGGGTGTTGAGATGTATTTGATTCATAAGCTACCAAAAAAAAATGGATGTGTTGAAATTTACCAGTTTTAATACTACACACACCATGCTAGCACGCCAGAAACCTATGTTCATTAAAGGTGTTTGGGTCATGGGCGTCCCAGTCGTGTAAGGCGCCGCAATTCGCTGTGCAGAGTTGCGTCCCTTGGGCACACCAGAAACCTATGATCGGTTATGTTTGTCAGCAACATTCTCGTGCTCGTGGGTTTTACTAAACCTGCATCACGTCGGGATTCCCTACCACATTAAGCTGACAGCCGTGGTAAAACTAGAAGAATGTTCAAAGCGGCGTTAAACCTAACACACTCACCCATACAATGGTAACGACTTACAACTCACAGATAACAGGTTAGGTTCGTAAATGATCGGTTAGCATTTATTACATACACAGTAGACTCGTGAAGATCCTGGTTAGAATAGGTCTTCACGAACCCAGAATTGTCATAAGAGGCGACTAACGGGATCGGGTGGTCAGGCTCGCTGACTTGGTTGATGCATGTCATCGTAACCTCCATTGCGTGGACAGTTGCTCATGTCAATTACTGGATTGTTTGGTCTAGACTCGATTATCTACAGACCGTCATGTAGCTGGAATATTGCTGAGTGCGGCGTTAAACAACAAACAAGACGAAAACAAAAGCATGCATGGTATGTTACAATTTGCTTTCGACGTTTATTGAATTTATGTAATCGTAGATGTATGTTTATTTAAAATTTAAACACGATGATAGTGGCATTTATGTCCAATCATGTACATTCGCTTACCTATGTGGCTGAGTAATGTTACAACGAAGACAAGTGCTGCAAGAGAATGAAAGAGAAGGTCAGGCGTATTACTTCTTTCGATGTTTTCTTTTCCTTTTGCTTTTCTTATTCACTGTGAATGAAGATCACTATGTGTGTGTTGTAAAAATCGATGGCAAAAGGAAGTACGTGCATTGTGGCTACTACCATCAACATCAACAACTGTTTGTTTGTCTGTTGAGAATACATTTAATGAATATTTGCCATAATATTGTCGGATGAATAACAGGCTTGTTTGTTTGTTTGTTATTTAACGCCTCACTCAGCAATATTCCAGCTATATGACGGCGGTCTGTAAGTGATTGAATCTGGACCAGACAATCAAGTGATTGACAACATGAGCATCGATCCACGCAATTGGGATCGATGACATGCATCAACTAAGTCAGCGAGCCTGACCACCCGATCCCATTAGTCGCCTCTTACGACAATCATAGTCGCCTTTTACGGCACGCATGGGTTGCTGAAGACCTATGCTACCCCGGATCTTCAAAACATTGTTGCCTTCGGTGTAAAACAACATTCATTCCTAAATTATCTTAATCTGGTGAAGGGGGCACGGTCGGCCCAGTCGTCTAAGGCGCCGCAATTCGCTGTGCAGAGTCGCGTCCCTTGGGCACGCCAGAAACCTATGATTGTGGGTTCGAATCCCGGTTCGCCCCGATTATGTTTCTAGGTTTGTCAGCACCATACCCGTGCTCGTGGGTTTCACCGAAGTGGTAAACGTGAGACCTGCATCACTTCGGGCTTTCCTCCCACATTAAGCTGACACGCCGTGATATAACTGGAATACTGTTAAAAGCGGCGTTAAACCCAACTCACTCACTCACCCCCTAATCTGGTGAGTATTTTTTTACTGCAACAATATTTTGTTATTTATATTCGTTAACCTGTACACTTTTGAATATCAAACGACATATTAAACATTTTTGCTTAGCGCTGAATATGAAGTCGGTAATCTTAATTTCAAGGCACAAGTGTATTTGACATTAGAAAAGAAAATAACACGTTGAACGCATCTTACCTTGCAACATTCTCCAGGTATTTCGCTTAACGAGATTTCCTCTGCTTAACAACAATTGTTCTTATACACATTCAAACGCCAACGTAGTGAAGATAAGACACAGGGTCAATTTCAAACGTCGGCTGCAACAGTTCACATGTAAGGGACCATTCTCTTAAAACTATAGAAATATATCTTCAGGGGCAAGTTACTTACCCCATATTTTTTGTTTGAATAAAACAAGAATTTTTATACACGTTAATCAATGCCATAATTATAGTGATGCGAAATTGTTTTCGACGTGTAGCTCGTGAAGTGAAGTCATTATATAGGACGTGTCAAAACACATGAACAGGTGCGTGATAGATCGTCGAGTCACATGCATTGCAGAGCGTTGCAATATTTGATAAGTTGCAGATCACCATATATTTACCACTCAGACACAGGGTACTGATTCCGAGCTGATAACTCCTTATACCCACGCACAAATGGTGTCTCACTCATTGTTAGTCAATGTTTGTTTTGCAGTACATCCTTGTTTGAGTGAAAATTTAATGTTTATTTCAATTTCAAATGTCCGTTTAACAGAAACAATAGGCATACTCTCGTAATATTATCAACAAGCTTTACGTGTCTATATAAAACACAATGAACTAGATCTTGCGCGACATTGACGCCAACGCGGGTGATAAGAAGTCAACACAGGTGTGAAGGGTCACTACGTGGGCCTGTGTGCGAGATGTTTTTCACACCAGCAAACGATTTCATTCAATCACACGACTTTACTACGTTCTTTTCTTCATGAAAACATAACGCCCAACAATGTCAAATCAGTTGTGAATACAGGCGCCATATTTCATTGTATGTTTTTATATAATCTGAACATACACATCTGTCTTGCTTAATAAATGTATGATGTCAAACTGCACAAAGGTGCGCCTCTTACTATCCATTTTTGGAACTAATCTAGAACAGTTGGTTGGTTGGTTTGTTGTTTTACGCCGCACTCAGCAATATTCCAGCTATATGACGGCGGTCTGTAAATAATCGAGTCTGGACCAGACAATCCAGTGATTAATATCATGAGCATCGAGCCACGCAATTGGGATCGATGACATGCATCAACCTAGTCAGCGAGCCTGACCACCCGATCCCGTTAGTCGCCTTTTACGACAAGCATAGTCGCCTTTTACGGCAAGCCTGGGTTGCTGAAGACATATTCTACCCTGGAATCTTCACGGGTCTAATCTAGAACAGAAAATATATATGTGTGAACACGGTTTCTCTCATGAAACACAGGTTACAAAAATACAGTTCGACCAATTTTCCATAAACAACATGGCTCAGACTCCTTGTTTCGAGAGTCACATATTTGACATAAAGGTAGATATTACCCTTTGTAAATGACCCGTGAAGATCCGGGGTAGAATAGGTCTTCAGCAACCCATGCTTGCTGTAAAAGGCGACTATGCTTGTCGTGAGAGGCGACCAACGGGATCGGGTACGTGTGATGATAAACCTATCAGCATTGACTAACTAACATTGACAATTATACCAGCCCATCAGCCTTTGAATGGAAACACGGAAGTTGGCGAAAAGTGAAAACTTACCTTCATTTATGACAGGGAAGCGGCCCGTTTGTCCATTTGGGCGTTTTGACAACACTGCAGCTGCTTTGACAAGCATACGCGAGCAAACACAAGCATATGCATGCTACCTACATGTTGGTCGAGTGTTTTTATTGCCTGTAACAGGTCACGGTGTTTTGTAAGTTAGCAAGGTTCTCTGATAAGTGATGGAGATCTTACACGTTTACCGCTTTGATGAAGCCCAAGTACCAGTTCTGCGAATAACGTATTGCGCGTGCGCATCTCAATCTTTGTCGTTGATGTTGGCGTGTTCTGGCTGAGGTTAGCGATGATGATGATGATGATGATGATGATGATGATGATGATGATGATAATAATAATAATAATATGGGACTTCTCCCAAGAAGCGTTGCCTAGTCAAACCCACCAAGAACTTTTCTGAGAATATGAAGACTACCCAACACTGCAGCCTTCTGCATTACCCAGATTGTCAGAAGGGCTGTATTCCTGGTACAAACCCGGGTACTCTCCCAATGTCAGTCAACAGATTAGGAGGTACCAAACCTAGGGCACTGAGAGAACAAGGGGGAGTCGGACAACTGGGTACTTGGTACTTATTATTATCATTATCATTATTATTTATATTATAATAATAGTTGTTGTTATCGTTATTTACTCAGTTTTATATCACATGTTGAATTAGTTGCAAGTTTCCTCCTAGATTAGATAAATACTTTCCTTAAACACGATGATGAGGACATTTTACATTGACTTCAAATTCAATTACTGATAGCCTTCGTTCAGTATTGGACGCATGCAATCTACATACATCAGGTGGGTCCTATTTCTTCAATAATGTAATAGTTAATAGGATTACATGTACATAAATGCTGTGTTTGTATATAAACAATTGTTTCCTTTAACATGTTCGATTTAATTTAATTTGATATTAAAATAAATGCGAGGTGGGTTAGTGTGCCACAGAAACGAACGTATCCAATTTTGAATGACATTTTATTTGATTATATAGCATACTCAATGTTAAGTAAAAACAAATTTTGTATCACAGTATATTCATTGTTATATCCTATAACATTGACTATAATCACATAATTTGTTCGATGGCAGCCATAGAGGTAAAAAAGTTAAACACTTTTTTCGGGTACCTGTAGAAATGCACGTGCAGAAATGGTCTCGCTGGAATGAGTACTTTATTCTTAGATCATGATTAATCCAAAGGTTGTTCCCCCCAAGATGCAACCTGACCATAAGTTCGCAGCTTTTTCCGGGATCGATTAAAAGAAAAGATATAATACAGAATCTAAAAACATGATCAAGAACCCCCGCATTCACTTTCGGATCGAACGGAGTTACCCTCGTGGCTCGACAAAACCGAATTTGGGAGAACCAAACTCGGGAACACTGTGTAGGAACATCTGGTATATATACTCTCCGAACAAAGTAGCGGATCAAGAAATATAAGTGTTATAAAGAGCTATGAAAAATGACTGCTAGAGAGAGAACGGTTTCTGAACCAAACACCTAACGCTCCAACACCTCAAACATTCTTCCTTTTGACACTTCAGTGAGCTTGTCCACAACGTGATGAACGCCTGAGGGCTATTGAAATGCTTCCGACATTAGAACTCAGGGAAAGGTAGCCAATATGTTCAATGTGTCTCAGATTTGCAGACTTCTGAACATATAACTGACATAAAATATTAATTACTGGCCCCGCAATTGTCAAAAAAACACGTCCAGAGTCGATAAAAAAGACACTAGGTTTTAAGGAATCGAGCTAATCAAAACGCCACCGGCGTTAAAGTCACTGACCAGGCGATTCGTCTGTGTGTTTACAGCGTATAACCTGGGGTACCGCCGATGGTGTCATGTAAAGTTTACAGATTCACTATCCATGCAATGGCCAGCCATGAGTCCTGACCTTTCCCGCACAAAACTCGTCTGAGACATGATCGGGAGGGGTGTTCGCCGATGCTACGTGAACCAAACTGGTCCAGGCGTTGCAAGAGGAGTCGACAAGACTCCCTCAATTGACGACCCGTGAAGACCCGGGGTAGAATAGGTCTTCAGCAACCCATGCTTGCCGTAAAAGGTGACTATGCTTGTCGTAAGAGGCGACTAACGGGATCGAGTGGTCAGGCTCGCTGATTTGGTTGATGCATGTCATCGTATCTCAATTGCGTGGCTCGATGCTCATGATATTATCACTGGATTGTCTGGTCCAGACTCGATTATTTACAGACCGCCGTCAAATAGCTGGAATATTGCTGAGTGCGGGGTTAAACAACAAACAAACCAACCAAACAACCCTCAATTGACATTGATTCGGACCATGCCGCGCGGTTTAAACGAATCGTGGCGGCATGGCCCATTGCTGATCACCTCAGCTCAAACGTTCATTTTTTAACTATACACTCAGAAACAGGTTTTTTTTCTCGCAAAACAAACAAAGCAACAAACTGTTGTGCTTGAAAAGTCAATTTATTCACCCCGTGAAGAGCAGGGTTAGAACTAATCTTCAGCAAACCATGCTTCTTGTGAAAGGCAACTAACGGGATCGGGTGGTCAGTCTCGCGGACTTAATTGATCGTATCCCAATTTCGTAGCTCGATCCTCCTTATGTCAGTCACTGGATTGTCTGGTCCAGATTCGAGTATTTACAAAACGCAGTCATGTAGGTGGATTGTTGTTGAGAGCGGCGTTAACCAACAAAGTACAACATTTTACTTTTTATCCCTTTTTGTATTTATTCGGGATAATAATCCTTTCCTGCTACCTTCTTACCCAAAACAGGGCCATACACGACCCTCCATTGTACGATTCCGGCTGAATCATAACAATCGCGACAATTGATACTCTGGATCTGGAGAGTATAAAACTCAAAATTCTTTCTCACCTGATCGACCATATCATGTTTCCTGTACATAACAATATCTATTCAAACTGTTTAAAATACTACTTCTTTGAGTGGCATTTAGAAGTTGGAATGGTAACTAAGACAAAGTTGTTATGGATGAGCAACTTCTTTATTACAATTGGGCGACGTTTCGGTGTAGATTCTAACACCGTTATCAAGCAAATGATGATTTGTTAGAATCTACACCGAAACGTCGCCCAATTGTAATAAAGAAGTTGCTCATCCATAACAACTTTGTCTTAGTTGTTTGAAAAACTATTTTGTGAGCAATGTGGACAACTTATCATAACGCTGCTTCTCTAATGTAACTTACTTTCTTCCAGCTCCACAATGAGAATAATCTACGTCATAGCCCTGGAAACAGTTTTAGTGACGCTAAGCCAACAGCGGGCAACCCAACATTCAACTGCCTGCAAGCCCTGCCTCTGTAAACAACGCTATGCTGACTGCTCAAGCAGGATTCTCACAGCTGTTCCTCAGCATTTGCCAACTAATATTACACATCTCAGTCTGAGGAATAATTCACTGGAGGAAATTAAAAATGGGAGTTTCATCCACTATCCTGGCTTGACTGACCTGAATTTGGAGGACAACAAACTAAGTCTCTCTTCAAATGTTTACAGTCCTTGTGCGTTTTGTGGACTGGTACAGCTACGTGTTCTCAGACTCAGCGGCAACTTTGATTCTGCCTTAAATACACCATTAAACTATTCCTATCCTGACAAATCGTTGAGACAACTGAAATCATTGGAAGAGCTGTACATTGATGGAATACCCAAAACCCCGATGGGAACTGCCTTCAGAGAGCTGACAAATCTGACCTCACTGATATATACGGGTCACTGTAACCTGTTGTATATACAAGAAAACATGTTTGTCACTACACCGAATCTTAAATTACTGAACTTATCAAGGTGTCACATTAACGACATCCACAGGAACGCGTTTTCTCCACTGAAGAACATTCACACCATAGATGTATCCGGAAACACTGGTTTGGGTCTTTCAAACGCAACCAATTCTGCTTATGGGATGATTGGGACTAAAATAAAAGTTTTCAAGATGAACCAAGTTGTTCCGCCCTTCACGATTGGCGTGGTTGCAAAAAAAACATCTTTCAAATATTTGAGAAACACATCAATTCAAGAGCTTCATGCTGGACACAATTTCATAGAGATATTGGAGGGAGGTATTTTTGACTTTTACCCCCCAACACTAGCGCGAGTGTCAATTGTAGACAATCGTTTCACTGTTGGTGTTTATGTATATGATATTATGAAACTAAAAGGGTTAAAGAGTATAGATATGAGCGACATGAGCATTTCTCATCATTTTTTTAGGAAGTTCTCAAAACAACAACGTCGGAATCAATACACTGATCAGGTGTTTTTTGGTCCTCCTGATCTTGAAAATTTTACTGCCAGAAACTACCAAATGAACTCAGTTATTTCCAGCATTCACATCAAATTACCTAATATCAACTCAATTGATATTTCCAATAACGTTATAACAAAATGGAAAGGTCCCATTAAAGGTTTAAAATCTCTTAAACGTGCAGATTTGTCATACAATTTCTGTTCTTACATAGAAAAACGCTTCTTTTCTGAGTGGCCGAATTTAACGTTTTTAAACATTTCAAATAATTTGATAGGTGATGCTCTACGTACACTCGGAAAGGATAGTGGGACCATCTTTCAAAACTTGACAAATATTGAAACCCTTGATCTTTCAGGAAATAGAATCCGTTTCCTTCATCAACACATATTTCAAACCAATACAAAACTAAGTCATTTAGATCTCAGCAACAATGAACTTAGAGACTGGGAACCTGATATCAGACAGTTGAAAAACCTTAATTATTTGGATCTTAACCAAAATCAACTCCGGACACTTGGTTTTACCTTTCGTGAATCTTTGGGAACACTTTCAAAGAATCCTACTTTAGATATTTCCCAAAACCCACTCTCATGTACCTGTGAAAATCTGGAGTTCCTCAATTGGCTATTTCAACATGCAATGTATTTAAAAAATTTGAGTAATTATACATGTGTTCATCCAATGAATACACCAATCCCCTTGACTGAAGAAGAAGTAGATGGTTTACAAAGACAATGTAAGCCACTTTTTGGAATTATAACCAGTTGTCTTGTTGGTATAACATTTACCCTGTCGTTCTCTGTCATGGCCCTGGTGTACAGATATAGGTGGAAGCTGAGGTATCTCTATTACGTAGCCAGAGATCGTTATCGCCCTGTGGGAGGTGGTGTGGGAGGGGAACTAGAGTATGATTTCGATGCCTTTGTGTCTTGTTCTGATGAGGACTTGGATTTCGTGGGCAAGTTGGTTTGTCAGCTGGAGGGACAGGGCAGGCGGCTATGTATTCATCACAGAGACTTTAAACCCGGAGAACCAATCGCATCAAACATTGTCAAAGCTGTGCAGACGAGTAGACGAACACTCATCATACTTTCTCCGAACTTCCTGTCAAGCACATGGTGTCGATATGAATTTGAGATGGCGAAAATGGAAGGTGTTTATGAAGCCAGAAGCGTCATCCTTGTTGTGAAGATCGGTGAGGTTGAAGCAGAGTCTGTTCCTCGTGAGCTTCTGTACATGATGAAGACGGACTCCTACACAGAGTATCCGGAAAATGCTGTGGATCAGGCCACATTCTGGATAGCACTGAATGAAGCCCTCGAGGACTAGGAAGACTAAAACGGAATCGGTTTCGGTGGATAATCGAGACTGGCTTTGATATTTTCAAGAGGATGAAAATGAAGTAATATGAATTCAGATTGATGGTTAAATAGGTGATGTTAATAAAGCGACAGAACCCTTTCCATATCCAATAGAAACTCTGCATAAAGCAGAGTCGATTTGCAGAAAACCTTGTTCATAGAGTTGAACATCTCAATATGACGCCAAAGATGAAGATTGTATAGGTGTACAGTGAAAGTTTTGTTGAGGGCTGTGAGAATAAGGACACATTTCTCCTCTTATGCAATTATTGTACAAATACGAGAGGCGTTCAATAAGGTTTGCAACTTGAATATTAGACCAAGTCGCAGAACATCTTTTGCACTTTTATTTTTCAATATAATCTCCATTCACCTCAATACACTTATTCCATTTGTCCTTCAAGCTTTTAAAACCACTTTTATAGAAATCCGCAGATTGGCCCTCTTAACACGCCTCTGTGGCAGCCTTTATGTCCTCGTCATCCTGGAAGCATCTTCCACGTAGGGCAGATTTCATTTGCCGGAACAGGAAACAATCACTGGGGGCTAAGTCTGGGCTGTAGGGTGGGTGATTTAACTGTACAGCCCAGACTTAGCCCCAACCCTATCGGCATATATTCCAATCTCAAAATTCCCAAATTCTATATAAGCAACCCCTAAAGCCCCCTCTTGGGTTGCACACACCACTTTCACCCCTTTCGGAAACACATTAAATGGCCGGGCCGGGCCCGTGTGCGAAATACGCATCAGTCGGAAAGCGCACGTTAAATCTCCAAAGTAAGTAAGTAAGTAGCATTAATTCACCTCATGAAGGTGTAAGTACATACTCCGAAACGTTGTGTTCCTCATAACAAAGAAGTTAACATCCATAAATTCTCTTCCTTATGTGTATCTCTTTTAAACGCCATTCAAAGAAATTTAAAGTATATAATTCGTCTATTATATTTTGTATTGCACTGTCTGTGTACGTTAGCCGATGGTTTTGTGATTGTATGTACTATTGTTTGTAACCAGATGTTTTCCTCATGCCCTAATTTATGTTATCAGATAATGATTAACACAAGGAAATATACGACACGACATCTAACATCCCTGTTCTCAATTAGGTGTGCACATAAATTTCTGTACAATAATCCTACAATAAGAAACTATTTTATTTATGCTATTTGAACATATCATAATGTGAACTACTTAGCATAAGATGAAGGCATTTCAAGCGCATTTGAATGGGGACATCTAGGCCTTGCTGTGAACGTGAAACCTCTATAGTAGTCCGGAATACACACTGGCTACCTAACAACTTTCAATGTCGGAAACTAGCTGCAGAACGATATAGATGATACAGTGTACCTGGTGTGATACATTACCTGACAAATAATTCCTTCTATGATCATAAATGAACATATTAGACAACTGAAAGGATCCATATGAACCGAGGTTGTCACATCAGAGTCAGAGGTGTATGTTAACACATTTTATCACATTACTAAGTGTGCGGTCAGAATGTAAAGGCAGTAATGACTGTATACAGTGTATATAGTTTTACAACATTATATTCTTATATCAATTATTTTATGTCATCCAATAAAGATTTCAAGAGTGTTGATATCAATTATTAAGTAACTGCTCTAAAGCGGAAAACACTGATACGTTACACGTGTCTTTACAAAGACAAAGACAAAACGTAATTTTCGTTCAGAAAACAACTTAACCGGGAGCAGACAACTACGTTATCTGAGGGAAATGCAAATGGCTGTCATGATATGCCAAGAATATGGGATTACAAATGTATCACACACAATCAGTAGTGGGACAATGTTGGCTCAAATAGTACGGTTATGGTCAACGCCACAGAGGGAAGTTTAAAATGTTTCATATTTGATACATTTTAGACTATCCAACATTTCTTTGGGTATGGGCCGCCTCCGTGGTCTAGTTGATAGAGCGTCTGCCTAGAGAGCCCAAGGTCGGTGGTTCGATCCACTGCCGCGTCATAACAAAAGCCGTTTACAGATAGTCCTCCCCTGAAACAAGGACTGGTCGGCTCGGAGACAGTAAACTGTGTCTGAGTGAGGTTTGGTTGGTTTGTCAGCAATGTTCCAGTTATATGACGGCGGTCTGTAAATAATCGAGTCTGGACCAGACAAACCAAGGATTGATATCATGCGCATTGATCTACGCAATTGGGATCGAAGACATGCATCAACCAAGTCAGCAAGCCTGACCACCCGATCCCGTTAGTTGACTTTTACGGCAAGCATAGTCGGCTTTTACGCAAGCATGGGTTGCTGAAGACCTATTCTACCCCGGATCTTCACACATAGACGTGCATTCAGTCACTATATAAGAACAATAATCTAGAATGCGATTAAACCCCATTTAACCAAACCTCAGCGCCTGGGAATATCAACTGGGAAGATTGTTTACGAAACACAATTTGCAAAGGAAAAACATATTCATAACAGATATGTGTAAACAATCCGATGATACATCTTTTTATGGTCTCTCCTTCACCATTTCTATGTGTACATTTCTTCACCTTTCATCTCACTGACTATTAACTTTGGGTGGTATTCATGGAAGACATTAAGAAGTGGAAGTACATGTATATATAATGTAGTTTAAAGACACTTATCTCTGAAACTGTGGATGCGTAAACTATTGGATACTAATAGGAGGTATGATACATCATGCCACCGGTGGCCCCTATCACAAACACATGTAAAGGTAAGTCAATGGTATAAGTCTAAATGGGGATTTGCATCGGACATCATTTTTTCACTGATGCGTCACATTTTGAAATGCCGTACACATGTGTACCATAAACCATTTTACAAGCTTTACTGAGGCCTTGACTGTTCTAACCCTGATCAAACAACTTTTGAGCAAGAGTCGCATTACGCTCTTTGAACTCTATAGAAAGAGCATGATTGATTGAACCTAAGAAGGTGTAAATATGTGGACACGAAAGCCTGGAGCTGCGGAAATATTGCTTGACATAAAGGGAAAGTTGACTGTTGGAAATTTGCAGTCATCCCTCTTGTCAAATCATCTTGTTGAGAGTTTTAATGTCACTCTGAATCTTTATGCATAGAATTTAGTATGAAAAAGATGAGGCCGATACACTGGTCTCTTTTTTCTAGTTGAGATGGGAAACTCAGTGGAAGTGAATTGGATGTTTGATGGTGATTGAACAATATCAGATCATCGATATATTTGAAACTTAAGTTCAACGTTTAAAATCAATCCCAATCCATGTAGAAATGACCAATTCACTCTGGTATTGACTTTTCTGTGGATGTCGGCACCACTCTGTCAGAAATTTTGGATTTTACTACTTTTGCGTTTCTTTTTGTGCAGAGTATAGTCAAGGCTTCTTATTTGTGAGTTGCCATGCTGTTTGAATATTCAGTCGAAACACAGTTAATCTGACTTCAACGCTGACTCCTAACATTCAGTTAGTACTCCCAGTTTGTATGGACGTCGGAACTTGTTTTCGTCCATGTGACGACGAACACAACGCCCAAGGGTAGTACGACTGGCATCAAAACCCCATCACCATAACGATCTTCGGAGAATAGACCATCTTGAGGTCCTTTTTGTGTGAGTGGCATGCGTAACCTTTCGCGAACACTTTTGTCCTCTGACGCTGCAGTTTTATATTTATCTCCTGAATACCGAGCGCCAGGCAGGGTAGTGACAAGTAACATCTTTTCAAGCCTTTTGGCGTACCGCGGGCGGATTCAAACCACCGACCTTGCACTCGCGGGGCAGACACTCTACCCACTAGACTATGAGTGAAAATAAAATGTTTAGTGAATGTTTATTTCTGTTTGTTTGCAGGCATCATCATTTTTAACTAGTCTTTGCCAAAAAAAAATATTCAAAACAAGTGTTCCTTTAATGGACAAACTCTTATAACTTCGACAAAATGCCGTACACATCTAAAGCACAATCAACTAGAACTTGTTCCACACGGATAGACGCCAACGCGGGTGATAAGAACTCAACACAGGTGTGAAAGGTCACTGCGTGGGCCTGTGTGCGAGATGTAAATACAAGCGACAAGAACCATTTCCATAATCATAAGAATCACACCAGCAAAAGATTTCATTCTGTCACAAGACTTACTTCGTTCTTAATGAAGGGATAACACCAGACTGTCAAATCATTTTTTTCACAGGCACCATGTTCCATTATATGTTATATAATCTAAATAAAATCACCTGACTGTCTTGTTTTCATAACTATAACTTCAAACTCTGTCTCTTAAATCCATGTTTAACATGGAATCTAAAACTATGTTGATATTTGTTTGGATAATATTTCCCTCCTGAAACAAGGTTACAAAAATACAGATACGACAAATTGTCCTGAAATGCATCGTTTCGCAAGAAATATCTTTGAAGGGAATAGAAACACGACAGTTTTCCCCAAAACAACATGGCTCAGATTCCTTGTTTCAACTACATATTTGACAGCCAGTAGATATTACTTAGTATATATATATTCAACAGGTAAGATCATTGTCCCTGACAATCACTCTGTATCTCTGTCTGTTTAACACAACAAACCAAAATTATCCAAACAAAACTGATATAACCTCAATCACCTCTTGTGTCTAAAAGGTATATTATTCAGTACTTAATGCAGTATGTACATAGCCTTGTGAACAATCGGAAAACCGTCTTGGTGACTATGAACTCTCTTCAAGAAAACTTCCTTTTGCCTGAAAGGAACTTTAGAAAACACTGGAATGTGTGTTTCCTTAAAGAAAACACTCATATCGAAATCCCTAATGTAAAAACGCAAGTTCAGTAAAACAAATACATCTCTTCCCAACAACATGACCACGCTTACACATGTAATTACAAATGATTATGGGTCACATGTTCGGTTGCGTCCTTCCGAGAGAATCAAAATATTTATGGTCTTCACCTTTTCAAAAATGTCTTTTTGTCAGCTTTTTCTTCAAAGATAATATAATGTTGTCAAGTCAATTACGAAGACTTTAAATAGATAGTGTTAAAAAGCAAACAACTGTTCGAAACAATACAACGTCAATGCCAGAGAATAGTCAGTCGAAGTCAGCAATATTCAGGCTAAATGCCTGCAGACTGTAAATAATCGACTAAGAACCAACGTTCCACTCCGTCGGGGTACATTGACACACAATCAAGTAAGTCACCCAGTCTGATCACTCGATCCATTTAGTCTACCTTGGCGACAAGCACGAGGAGCTGGGAAATATTCTACGTGTCCACATGGAGACGAATTTAAATGTTTGAACAAATGCGACCAAATTTTCCTTCCAAATATCTACTAAAAGCAGAGTCCATTGTACCATTCCGACTATATCATAGCAAAGAGAGAACGATGACATGACTTGATAAAGGATAAACAAGGGGGTGGCAACAAAGGATAGCGGGTGATACT